TACATTTATAGGTCTTTCATCTAACGTTTTTATATATATTACAACGTAAGTTGTATAGGAGACTTCTCACAATCAGCAACTCACCTCACATCGGTAGAGCCGAAAAAAAAAGCAACACGCTACAGACGCTCTTCGAGGGGGGCGTTGCCGGAACATTTGCAATGAGGAAACTTGGCACAAATATACTTTAATCCTGAAATTCTTGTTAAAATGTGAGTCTGGTTGTTAGTGTTTCAACATCGTCCGGTTTAATGAATTCTGTTATATATAATGGAATTGTTCGGCGCGTTGACATTTGACGAAACCGAGTCACCTGGTACTTGTGGTACATGAGGTGAGAACGGACCAAAGTTGTGGGAAATTATGTGTTTCTACAGTTATTAACTTTACCAGCAACTACGTCTGTATGATTTAGTTCGAGACCGTTTTCCTTTATAGAGGTACTTCACCTACCACACTTGTTGTGATGCATGAATGGTACCAAGAACCGAACACGGTAGCGACGAGAACAAACTCACGTCGACTCCTGTACCCCCATGTCGTCGGTCCAACTTCCTATCGACAACGCAGACCTTGTCGTCACGTTGTAAGCACCAACGTCTCACGCAAGAGAACGACCAAGGTGCGATGTGTTTCCTTGTGAACGGTTGACCGTTAGAGGTCCACTCGTAGTAATGTTGTATTTACAGTCAGTAAAATTGTAAATCTCTGTGACGAAGTTATGTTGGTGTCTGTTACTCTTTTCGACTCTCGTCCGACTAGTCATCATCATCCCACCCTTTTCCGATTTGGTACAGTCCAACAGTCAGTGTAGTGTATGGTGTCTTCCAAACGACAAACTTATGACATTAATTCCTGTAAGTTTGTCTATACGAACATATCGGACAGAGCGAGAGAGTTACATAATAGATATAATATTGGAGTGTATTTTTATGCACAATCATCTTGCAACTTGTCGAATTGTATCTACGGGCGCATGTTTTGGTCGTGATGGGATTGTGCACCGGTTGTGTTTATTAACCTGGGATGTTACCTAATATCATTGTGAGTCATTTTCTCTGTCGGTCGGGCAGTGTGTTGGTCAAAGACCCCAAGGGTAGTTTCGTCTCTACCAAAAGTGGAGAGTATCTTCTTAGAAACTACGTTCATTCAAACCCAATCGTTACATAAATAGTAAAAAGGTGCTCTCCCAATTGTTTTGCTTTTATTTTGACATCGGGGCGGAAGTTACCGATGTGTGTGTATCGACTATATAAACTAGCATTACTTAAATATGCAGAGACTAATTGAAATGTTTAAATATGTATTTTTCCCCCCGATATAACATCAACCTATGTTTTGTAAAAGTTTATTAAATTAATCTGTAAAATGTTATCATATTGTGGATTTATTAAATTATGTATTTTCCTTTGTTATTTATGTGTGCGTTTGTTTTGAGGATATAATTCATTAGCACCTAAACATAGTATGGTATAACTGCTTTTTGTAAGGAAATACACAATTGGTTTGGGAGCAAGAAATCTTTTAATCGTTGTTGCCCAGGCTTGCCAAAATGAATGGAAACTTATCTCGCGATTATAACATTGTGTAACTTGCTGCTGTTAAATACCGTCAAACTATGTGCAATATGTGCTTTATTTGCAATATATACTTTATATACATATGCCATCTTTAATAACTGTAATATATACCGGGCTGCTAAATCCTAAGAACTGCAACAGGATTTGATTTGTAGATTTGATTTGTTTTTGATCTGTATTTTTAAAATTATGTAACTTTTTATCTTTTTTTTAGCATATTGTTTATTATATTATAACTTAGTAGTTTTTTAGCATATTGTTTATTATATTATAACTTACTACTTTTTAACGCATGTAAGATATGCAACACTAAGCTGTCTGTGGCTCTTTCCTGCTGTAACGCTGCAAATTTCCTCTCTGTGGGACTAATAAAGGTATTCTGATTCTGATAACGGGACGAATTTGTACAAAGGGGCACACAGCAATGTAGTGCCGACTTTCTTACACGCTGGAAGGCCAATCGCTTTTCTTTAACCCGAAATCCGCTCATTCTTGCTCTCGCTGTGTCATAACAAACTGTCAAACTGTCAAGCTGTCAAAACCCTGTACTCAAACCGGAGGTACTCAGCCTCACACCCAGCCGCCGGAAGTTGATAGACGCCATCTTGTGCACAGAGCCTATACATAATTTTTCCGAAATACGGGCCGTTTCTCAATCGCGAGGAAACTGGCTTCCAAGCCAATATTTCAAGGATACTACGTCATCGAGTGCCGCCGAAGGACTGTTCCAATCTCCAGCATACTTGGAATTCCACCGAGGCCACGTCCTTGGTTTGGGGGTAATTTCGAGGCTGCACATGGGTAGACTTCGCGTCCTTCAAATCCCCACAATGCTTTGCGCACGGACCAATTTCAAAAACCCTTATGGAGAATGGCTGAACCGACGCAGCACAGCACACATTTAAATGTAAGTATGTAGTGGCGTAGAACATGTGTTGGTAAATATGTTACTTTGTTACATTTGTTATCACCAAAAATGTGTTCCAAGCAAGTTCATAATTAGATAGACATCGTGAGGTATTTATTTTCGGTACAGTTTATGTTGAAACCGTTAGAGAGTGGCACACTTGTTAGCCTGTTCCAGTCTTCTTCGTTTTCCGAAGCCGTGGCTTGGAAGTATACTTGCTTCGTGGAGGACCGAACATTTTCCCGTCAAGTTAGTATTTTATAAATCGCAAACATTGCGTAGAAACTGGCGTACGCAATTTTTTTGAGTGTATATCCCTTTATAAATGAGGCCCCAGATCTTGGTAGACAAAGCCTGGATCTGGGTTTAAGATTGAATGGCACAAATAATTGGTGGATTGGAGCCAGGACACATTCCTTAAGCTCAACAGCTGCCTCTTAAGACTGCAAATATCCACACCATCATCATTATGTCATATCAGCCACACTGTTGACATGGCAACAGCCTTCTTTCCCTTATCAACCCAGCCGATCCGTCTCTGTTGCTGCTCAGCACAGCGGGCTGATTCTGCGTAGCAGCCCATATTTACCACATACATTGGTGTATAGCAAAAAAGATAAGGCAGATTGTAGTGGAGATTTTGAAGTATGTAAAATACTCTGTTTTGATCACATTAAAATAAAAAACTTGAAAAACAATGGCTCAGGCAATTCTCATTCTCTCTAATTGAAAAGTTCTGGATTCATCTGCAAATTGTAAAAACATTTTTTAATGATGGTATACTTTGAAGTAAATCTACAGTCCATTATAACTCTAATATTGAATTATCAAGTCGCCCTCAAGACAAAAAGTGACAAACATGTATGGAACAATTATTTGATTGAACATAATCGATCTGTTCAAACACACTGAGTATTAAAAGTATTGCTATCATGTGAAGCAACATTTTTGCCAACAGTGGCTTTCCAGAGGGCCAATCGAAAATGTATACAAGAAAAAACTGAACAAAAGTAGAATGTGAACATCAGCAGCATCAAACCTGGATCACTTTTTAACATATCCACAAATGCACCCGCGACATTAGGACAACAATATTTGTCAGCAACAAACACATGTTCCCTGACATTTTAAACATGGACCAGTTTTAACAGCTCATGGAAATGTAGAGGTTCTCTTCTGTTATGTCTTCTGTTGTATTGAGAATTAAGCAGTAGCAGCTTTGACAAGTTAGAAATGCAATGTCCACAATGTAGAAAATAAATTCTCACTAATTATCAAATCAACTGTTTTAGGGTTGTGTTTTAAGGGAATTTTGAAGGTGCAAATAAAGCAATTTTAAGGGTTCTTATGCATTTTTTTAAACAATTTAATACCCCAGATTTGTTGTTTCATAATATACTGAGTTAAAGATCTTCCAGTGTGAAAACATTGCACTTATATCCTGTGCATATTATCCTGCACAGCTTTGGGAGTATAAAAAACAGGCCAAAAGGTATTCAGTAAAGAATATCATTTTATGGCTTAGGAACATTTAATGCTCATTTGGTGGTTTGGCTGGCACATTGGGAGATACAGCAGGACGATCATGAGGTGTGACACATGGGGAGATTAAAGGCAATGCAGCCGGGGAAATGTTAGTCCTGTCAGTACAGTTTAAGAAATAACATTAATAGGAGAAACAAATAAAATGAATTATTGAATGATTATTGTCTTAAAATCCCCATGTGACACTGCCTTTGCATAACAAAAAAAACCTTAATGTCTGCATTTATTTCATGGACAGGATTACCCCTCAACAGGGTCATAGCGGGGCAGGACGCCCTCCTAGAATGCACTGGGCAGACCCAGTCTAGACAAACACATTCACACTTATGTTCATAACTATGAGCAGTACTCCTTTAATGTGGCACTACTAATCAGTTCAAGCAAAACTGAGAATCATAAAAAAAACTCATATTTACCAGGTAGCTGTTCTAGAAGTCTCACTTTTCTGCAAAATCCCACAACCATTTTGAAAATTGAAAGTCCTTTGGAGCCCAAACATGATCATTATTGTTTGTGTTAACATACACAGGTGTCATTATTGATTATTGACAACGGAATGCAGAAAAGACGACTAAAGTGATACTTCTATTTTGGCTTAATGCAGAATAACCGCTTTAAAAAAACTAAACAACACAGCTCATCTCTGCATGTCTAATCCAGTCACACAGGCAACATGTCAGTGTGTGTGTGTGTGTGTGTGTGTGTGTGTGTGTGTGTGTGTGTGTGTGTGTGTGTGTGTGTGTGTGTGTGTGTGTGTGTGTGTGTGTGTGTGTGTGTGTGTCCTTTAAGCCCTCTTCATGCCTCGCCCCATCAGGCAGGCAAAGATGGTCATCACCATTTTCTGGTTGATCTCCACCAGGTCGTCAGGCAGGGCGTACACTTTAGCTCCAATCTTCCTCGCCATGGAAACAGCATACCTGGTGGAGGAAAGGGTCATAGTTAGGATCGCTATGGCAACAAATTATAGCTGCGACATTCATTGTATTTTCTTGTTACTTGTATTTGCAGCAAATGCATGTTAGATGTACCATGTGAGCTTTCAAAATTACAGCCACTGAAAAATAAAAAGTGTGCTGACTTCTGACTCGTTTCTCTCCTATATATCATTTTTTATTTTGGTAATTTAATTGATATTATTATTTTAAATGTTTGTTTCTCTTTATAGTTAACGTCTTTTTGATAGTGTTCCAATTGCAAAATACAATCTTATATATTTTATATTATCAGTTTTATATCTGTGAACACACATCAGTAATTATATATGTTTTAATCACCTTTATATAATGGAAATGAGACACAACAATATAAAAATGAAAATATCTGGGAAATTGTGTTTCAATCTAGCCTTTTTTCTGTGTTTTGGATCTATCATTTAATAATCACTTCTTTAAGCTAAAATATTTGAATTTGGAGTATTTCAAAAATCCTGAGCACAGGTAAATATATATTTGCCTATGTTTTATTTTATCCATACAAAGTAAGCACTAAATAATATCCCACTGCAGGCTGAAGGTTTTTTCACAGATCTAATGTGAAGCTTAAACCCAGCCACAGTCAGAGGAAAGCAGGCGGTGGTTACTTGGCGTTGTTGAGTTGGTCTTCCTCTGACAGAATTCCTGTTTGAACCAGTTCAAAGTTCACACTGGACGGCTGGATGGCATCGATCAGTTCCAGAACCGGCATGCTGGTACCGATGGATTTATCCTACACACACACACACACACACACACACACACACACACACACACACACACACACACACACACACACACACACACACACACACACACACACACACGAGTGTGTGTGTGTGTGTGTGTGTGTGTGTGTGTGTGTGTGTGTGTGTGTGTGTGTGTGTGTGTGTGTGTGTGTGTGTGTGTGTGTGTGTGTGTGTAGGATAAANAAACCACACACACACCACCACCCACACACACACACATCACACACACACACCTACAACACCACACCAACAACACACACACACACACACACACACACACACACACACACACACACACACACACCACACACACACACACACCACGCACACACGCACCGCCACGCGCACAACCAATAAGGCTTTCGGGGGCCAACTCGGGAAAGGTTAAGCCGTCTAAGGCAGCGCAACATTAATTTTCAGTAAAATTGTAGCCAGATAGAGAGGAGGAGACGAGAGGAAGGCGAAGTGCGATAATAAGCGTAAACGTTCACAGGGTGTCCATGGAGAAAGGCAGTCGGGGTATTATTTGGTAAAGATGAGGGGGTGGTGTGTTTCTTGATGTTCATGTAGGGGGATAAGGTGTAGATACATCCGTGCCGGGGCGGAGGCTGTTTGTAATCGTGTCTTTCTGCTCTTCTCCTGCCCTAAAGCCCATCAGCCCAGGGAGACCCCGCCACTCCTCTGCAGATCTTTCAGGCGCCACCAACGCTCTGAACGAGAAGGCCAGGCTTCGGTGAGGTACTAACAGACGTGTCGTGCATAGTCGGGAGTAAAAACAGCTTATGAAAGGACGTGGAGGGTTTGGCCTGCTTGTCTTCAGCTGCCGTTGTAAGGTACTTGGGAGTCTTCATTTAAAACAAGGAGACACATGATGCGGGGGAGATAAGGGGGGGGGGGTTTTGTTGAGACTAGTTGGGGCGTCAGGAGGAATTTCAAAAAGTCAAAGTCCACTTTATTGTCAATCTTGGAGTTTGTGCTGTCCAGACAGGAGATCAAAATACCGCTTCCCACAATATGCTAAATGTATGTATATCCAGTATATACACGATTCAACAGACACATTGTATACATATGCGTCCCTCCTCTCGGTCCCTCCTCCACCCTCCCCCCTACAGGACAGCTTCGGTATGTAACGGTTCGCAGGCTCCAGGTCTGGTCGTGTTTCCGTCACAGGAAGTCCCGCCCTGCGAAGAAGAAGGCATCTTCATCAACTCGACCAGCAGCAAACTCCTGGCAGAGAGCTCAGGGCATCCTACTGTGGCGCTCACACACACACACACACACACACACACACAGACACACACCACACACACACACGGAAACGCACACACACAACACACACACACACACACACACACACCACACACACACACCACACCACACCACACACACACACACACACACACAACACACACCACACTACACATAATACATACATACATACATACATACATACATACATACATACATACATACATACATACATACATACATATACACACACACACATACACTGAATTCTTGTGTTCATATCTTTGAATGAAATACAATATGTCTCCCCTGTAGGAGGAACAAAAACATCAAAAGCAAGCCGAGCCTTCCCAAGGTAAGACTCAAATATCAGGACTGCACAGAGTCCTCACGCCTCTTTTGAATGACCCTTTCCCATTAAATAAAAGAAACAAACACAAATGAAGCACTTAAAAAGGTTTGGCATATTGGAACCTTATGTACTCACAGGATTCTTGCAGTTTTTAATGTGTATCCTAATGAATAAAAGCATCAGCTAGATTAAATTAAATACAATGAAATGTAACATGGCAACATCTTAAAGGTCACCTATTATGCAAAATCCACTTTTATACATCAACATGTGTCCCCTCTGATTCTCTCTCTTTTTGTCCTGATTCATTTATATAAAAACCTGTCTGAAAATGAGCTGATCAGATTTTGTCCACTTTATGATGTCATAACGATGTTTTGGCTTGTGTAACCATTATCCAATCACCAACCAAGGTAACGCCCACACACACCTTATCACCTGAATCTCCTCCTAGAGCACCATTGAGTTCTTTTTAACCAAATCTCTCTCAGAGGGGCGTGGGGAGGGGCTCCTTGTTTTCATCTAAAGTAACAGACAGAGAATCAGCACTTTAGAAACAGGCCTGAAACAGAGGGGGTTATGGGTAATGCTGCAATGATCTGTTTGGTGTTTGGAGCCAAACACTTCAGAGACGTGTTCTGTATATATCTGAGACCTATTATATATTGATGAAAAACAGTATAATAGGGGACCTTTAAGAATCACAAAGGTGTTTTTCAGCCTTCCGTCACATCCTCTCGTATGTTCTGGTTCTGTGATTGCAGCACTTGTTGGACATTAAGTCTCTGCGGTACCTGAGCAGCGTGACGCTCCACGACCGCATCACCAAGTCTCTGCTCCACCTGCACAAGAAGAAGAAGCCGCCCAGCATCAGCGCTCAGTTTCAGGTCAGTGCTGCCCCCTGCTGGAAGATCAGTGAATTACAACAACATTAGTGACTCAGCAGCAGCCTATAGGGATTAGAAATGTACATGAATATCCTACTATCCTAAGTCAAACATTTAGCGGGACAAGAGCTTCAATGTGTTGTCCCATAATAGTGTCATTTTAGCAGATTCGTACAAAACCACCTAATAAGCTAATTTTGCAGAACAGTCTATATTATATTATTTGATTCTAACCACTAAAAGAATAATAAAGGTAGGCCTTTCGGGTTGCATCTGGTGAAGGAGGGGTAGACTTTAATTACTTGATACACTGCTCTGCAACTTAACCCTAGTTTATATAGATTGATTTTCTTGTTAGTAATTGTTGTATTAATAAACTAGCAGCATTATTCTCTACAATTGTATTTTGTGTTTGTGTGTGCAGGCGTCCCTCAATAAGCTGATGGAGACTCTCGACCAATCAGAGCCGTACTTTGTGAAGTGTATTCGCTCCAACGCTGAGAAGGTAAGTTCTGGTGCAAAATAATCCTCATGTTAATACTTCTCTTAATGACTAGCTTCTGTTTTTTTGTATTAATACTTTCTCTCTCTCTCTCTCTTTATGTCAGCTGCCGTTGCGTTTCAACGACAGCCTGGTGCTCCGACAGCTCAGATACACGGGCATGCTGGAGACCGTCCGGATCCGACAGTCCGGATACAACATCAAGTACACCTTCCAGGTAATATTCCACTACTTATATCTAACTACCAGAGATGGCAAAAGTACACTCATCTTTTACTCAAGTAGAAGTACAGATAATCGTGTTTAAAAATACTCTGGTGAAAGTAGAAGTACTGACTAAACTTCTTTACTCAAGTAAAAGTAAAGAGGCTTTGAAATGTACTTCAGTAAAAAGTACCCATAACTAGCAGCTGTTTTAAAGAGTACCTGACCTCGCCTTTATATTATAAGAACAGATAATTTCATTGTTTAGCCTAGATGAATGTTTCCAGGTGACCCACGGCAACATGACACGTTTTCATTGTCCCTTCTTTAGGAGAAGACCAGGAATGAATGGAACACGGAATCATGTTCAAATCAATAGCACGCAATGCTCTAAATATAATGATCACGCCACCAAACACATTCCAAACTAAGGAACCGGCCTGTTTTGGAAAATGAGAGAGCAGAAGTAGAAGTTACAGCGGTATTGTGTTCAACATGTAAGAAGTAGGAAAGGTACAGGTATTTTGGGTCAAAGATGTAAGAAGTAGAAAGGTACAGGTATTTGGCTTTTCAAAATGTAGACGATGAAAGTTACAGGTATTTGGCTCAACATGTAAGAGTAAAAAGTCGTACCGAACATAAGTAGGCTGGAATAAGTTACTGCCTACCTAGCAAAAATGCTCGCTTAAATACAGAACAAGAGTAGTGGGTGTGTACTCCCACTTCCCACTCTGCTAATTTCAGATCTAAATGTATTGGCCCGTGTCAGTGGCCCACAATTGTATTTATTTCTCGCCATTTGGCCAGCTAATTGAGCCATAGTGACTTTGTGTTTCCATGGGTTATAAAATGTGCTATTGTATTGTTTCTTGCTTTGCCCTTTGCCAATATTGCTATGCATACATGTTATATTATTGATCTTTCAATACTATATTTTTTAAGCCGTGTATGCTACGCCTGCTGTTTATTGTTGTTTGCGCACTGTGTGTAGACCGGTTACACTGCAAGCTGCTTGATAACACGTTTTTTGCTATGACTAAACTCATACTTGGCAAATAAATCAGATCTGCATTCTTATTTGTTTGTAAGCTGCACAACTTATGGCTAGAGGTTTGCAGTACTCAGGTTCATCTACTAGCCATACGTTTGTTATTAATGTCATCTTTACATTTTGACAATGAAATAGCAGCCATATATATTTGTATTTGAGACCTTTAGAATGTCTCTATATCCTGGGGGAGATTTCAAATCGATCTCAAGTTTACCTGACGGCCCCAGTGTTTTAAAGTTCTTTTACTGACCCACCGTTCCCCATGTTTGCAGGCTATTGCTGCGTCACTTATCCACATTCTGGCTGCCTCAGAGCCACCGGTCCCACCAAGCCGGCATCAGGGAGTTCTTCAGACGGATCCCACCTGCGCCCTGGCTGGGTTCATAGTGGGAACCACATGCGTAACGGACTCTGGAAAGCCATTTTTATCTTAAGTACCTATTTATGCAAAATCACTTCTTCAGTCTCTTCTCATCAACATGTGTCCCCCTGGTGTAAAGAGACTCTGAAAGTTTCAGGAAGAAAAAAGTCACTCTCTTTTTGCTCTGATCCATTCTATAAAAACCTCTTCTGAAAATGAGGACGATCGTTTTGGCATTTTATGATGTCATAACGATTTTTTTGCTTGCATGCTAACCATTAGCAATTCAGAAACCAAGCGTAACTCCACCACCTTATCACACGAATCTCCTCCTAGACACCTTTGGAGTTCTTTTTAACCAAATCTCTCTCAGGCAGCGGGCGTGGGGAGGGCCTCCTTATTCTTCATTGAAGCTAACAGACGAGAATCGCAACTTTGGAAACAGGGGCTTGAAACAGGGAGGCGGGTTATGGGTAATGCCCTGCATGAATCTGTTTGGTGTTTGCGAGCCAAACAC